TGTGTGTGTGTGCTTAAAGTGGATCTCACATCCTTGGCTGCGACTAAATTCAACGTCTGGGTCCTCACGATGGTTTTGCCCATGAAGTTGAAAGTTAACGTAAATCGATTTGCTTTTTTGGTGGCAAAATACTTTTCAATATAGGTTTACCTGTATGTTCAGAATATCCAGCCCTTCCGTACGGCAGTTTTCTCATGCAGTTTTGAGCCCAAAGGTGGATTACCACTAGCTACTGCCCAATGGAGCACACCAGCAGACACTCGCGTGCGAATTTGTTTATGAGGGATTTGCCCCGAGCTAAATCCACTCCAGCTTCTATCCATCGCCCGTTGCAACCAGATCGAGAGCAAGCGTGAGCGCAGCGGCTAACAAAATTAAAAGGCTGTTCAATGCAGCAGAAGCACACACAATCTGCGCCCATATTTCCCAGACATCGTGCTTACCCTTGGGGGAGGGGGTTTCAGATATTTGGCGTAAATTAGATCCTCACGGTGGGGGGAGGACCTGCAGAAGGAGCCATTATAAACTGTCGCTGAAACCTGAGTAGCAACGGGGTCCGATGTCAGTTTTCAAGCCCTCGGCTATGAGTGTTCACGTGCTACATCTATTTTACTGACGTATCATGAAAAAAAGATTACGCCTCCGTATTGGCTTCAGTACGCAAAGGCTCAGACTCTGATCAACGTGCGAGTACCAGGAAAGAATTGAGAGAAAGGAGATTCGATCGCTGAGACAATCAAACGGGCACCGAATCCCTAAATAAGTGCAACGATTTGCCCAATTCCTATTCAGTGCTGAAGATCAATTTTGCCAAATAGAGTTGCCACTTGGGGAATGCACAGGCCAGTGCGTCGTCTAATGTCAACACCAGAGAGTCAGATGACCGAGCAGTCATCACGCCCAAGCCTACCACACGTGACGAAAGTTCAGTAAGTTAGGGCCCGCATGGCGGTAAACAAGCTACCAACGCGCACGAGGGCAGTTGTCGTTATTTGTCATACCTAAGCAGTAATGGCTGTGTCCCATACATACCGAAACTTCCGGTGCATGTAACACCCAGTTCTGCTATTGTTTTCTGCTCATGCCTCTGATGAAGATTCCGTGGTGGATGTCGAAACGCCAGGCGACTAAAAGGGTTCTATTGACCCAATTTTGAAACGTTCGCGGACTCGGTGAAAGACGATCCCACACTGCAGGGAAGGCTTTTGTGTACCCAACGCTCTACCATTTGAGCTAAGAGGCTCAAATAAAAGTGTTGTCCCCCAAAGATTGAATCTTCTTTTCACTGATCAACGTGCATGCAGTACAAATACTCCCTGAAGTTGGTGGTGGCGTTGTGCATTTTAAACCCCGAAAACCGGTCGCAAACCCTCAGCGCAAAGCTTTTGGGTGAAAGGTGGCAAGACAAAGCCGCGATGCCACCCACATTGCCTGCTCAACATCTGAACGCTTTTCAGATCGCCACGATGGTGGGATCGCGTTACCGAGCATAGAATAATCCACAAAAATTGATTCGCACAAAGATTTGCTCCAAAGTTGTTGGGAAACCAGAAGACAGTGGAATAGCGCAGGTTTGACTCAAGCAGCTCGTGGCTCACGCGGTTGTAACCTCTTGCGAGGACTTCGGCCACGTTAAACTTAAAAATATGACCGGGCCCCGTCGAGTGAGCTGCAACTTGGGAGTCAACGTCTTTACTCCTCACCGCCGCTGCGTGTTCGATCATTCGCGCCCAGAGTAATCTCCCGATTTCTCCGACATAGTTGTTATGTCCACAAATGCACCAAATCCGGTAAACGACTCCAGCCGTTTTCT